CGGGGGTCCTCACGAGGACTAATGCTGATCTGCGAGTGTGTGTGAGTCTGTGTGTGTGTGTGAGTCTGTGTGTGTGTGTGTGTGTGAGTCTGTGTGTGTGTGTGTGTGTGAGTGCTGAAGAGCAAAATTCAAACACGGGATGTGGTTTGGTGCATTTAGTCCCATCCCCTTTTCTCTCTTTGTCTCTCGCACACACACACACACACACACACACACACACACACACACACTCTCTGACTACGATGCTGCTTGAGCTTCTAAAGGTTTCAAGGACATCTTGTCTTTCCATTTTGTGTAAAACCACTGCAGGCCACCGCCCCCCTGTGAGTAGGTGCTGTGTGTGTGTGTGTGTGTGTGTGCGTGTGTGTGCGTGTGTGTGTGTGTGTGTGTGTGGGGGGGGGGGTCCATGGTGATGACAGCAAGGAGACAGCGGCTCCTTTGTGTCATCTCTGTACTTCACAACTTGATGTTTGAACTGGTCATTCTCTCCATGGTCAAAGAGTCAAAGAGACAAATTTCTTCATCATTTACGCTATAACATGATATGATATCATATGTTACATTATATATGATATCATATAACATATGTATCATATGTTATATGATATGATACATGTCATATAATATACGACATGTGGTAATATGATACATCATGTAATGCATGATGATATATGTTATATTACATTACAGGTCATTTAGCAGACGCTTTTATCCAAAGCGACTTACATCACACTTTAAACTCATGGCTTATTCACATTTTTTGCCTGGAGAGCAATTAGGGGTCAGGTGTCTTGCTCAGGGACACTTCGACATGGAACATGGGGCAGCCTGGACTCAAACCACCAATCTTGTGCTTCCCAGCACACCTTCTCTAACCCCTGCGCCACGACGACCCCTCGTATATATGATACATGATGTGATATATGATATGATATATGATGTGATAAATGACACATAAGATATGATATATGTCATATGATATGATATGATAAATGACACATGAGATATGATATATGTCATATGATATGATAAATGACACCTGAGATATGATATATGTCATATGATATGATAAATGACACCTGAGATATGATATATGTCATATGATATGATAAATGACACATGAGATATGATATATGTCATATGATATGATAAATGACACATGAGATATGATATATGTCATATGATATGATATGATAAATGACACATGAGATATGATATATGTCATATGATATGATATGATAAATGACACCTGAGATATGATATATGTCATATGATATGATAAATGACACATGAGATATGATATATGTCATATGATATGATAAATGACACCTGAGATATGATATATGTCATATGATAAATGACACCTGAGATATGATAAATGTCATATGATAAATGACACCTGAGATATGATATATGTCATATGATATGATAAATGACACATGAGATATGATATATGTCATATGATATGATAAATGACACCTGAGATATGATATATGTCATATGATAAATGACACCTGAGATATGATAAATGTCATATGATATGATAAATGACACATGAGATATGATGTCATATGATGATATGATAAATGACACCTGAGATATGATATATGTCATATGATATGATAAATGACACATGAGATATGATATATGTCATATGATATGATAAATGACACATGAGATATGATAAATGTCATATGATATGATAAATGACACATGAGATATGATATATGTCATATGATGATATGATAAATGACACCTGAGATATGATATATGTCATATGATATGATAAATGACACATGAGATATGATATATGTCATATGATATGTAAAATGACACATGAGATATGATATATGTCATATGATATGATAAATGACACATGAGATATGATATATGTCATATGATGATATGATAAATGACACATGAGATATGAGATATGTCATATGATGATATGATAAATGACACATGAGATATGATATATGTCATGTGATAAATGATGTGGTGAGTGTGTGAGGGCTTTAGATGGTGTAAAGATGTGGAACTTTGTTGCCACATGTCACGTCACCATGACGACGTCTAAAATAGGATTTACAATTGAGGATTTATTTAATAAGCTTTACTCTGATTTGAACGTCTTTCTCTTTCGTCATAAAATGAGACGTCATTTTAGATGATGTTTTTACGTTTTTTGTCAAAGTTGCTTTGATGACAACATTTTATATTTCATGAATGGATGAAAAATATATTTTTTTTCTCCACCTTTAATCGTTGATGTTTTAGATGTATAGATTTTCGTTTTAACAGTCTGAACACACTCTTTGTTTACCCAATTTGTGTGTCTGTGTGTTCACTAGTTGACAGATAGACTTTAGTGTCAATGCTGCGTTTCATATGAGCAGCGTGATGATCTGCGTGTTCTCGGCTGCTTTGCTCCTCCTCCTCCTCCTCCTCATCTTCCTGTTCCTCCTCTTACTCCCTCCTCCTCTTCCTCCTTCTCCTCCTC